AGGCCAGTCACAAAGGTGTACATAGTTTATAATTCCATTTATGTGACACGTCCAAAATACACACATCTATAGAGAAAGTAGATTTGAGTTTTATTACATCTAAGGGATTTCAGGGGATTGGGGTATTTAGGGGTAATGGGAAAATGGTCCACGGTGTCTTTTTGAGTAGCAAAAATGTTTATTGTGGCCATGGAGATTTTTTTTTTTTTACCAAAAACTATTAAATTGTACATTTCAATTTGCTAAATTGTATGACATAAATTATATCTCAATAAAGATATTAAAAATAAAGGACTCCATGTAAATTTAATTTCAGATAAACACTGACTTTTCTTTTAGCAAACAGGCATGTCTCTTTTCATTGTACATCACTTTGCAGATATTGCATTTTCTACAAATTGAAGGTTTGTGGCAATCAAATATTGAGTATGTCTACTGTGGCCATTTTACAAACAACATATGCATACTTCCTTTTTCCATGTCATCTTTTGGTAATTCTTGCAATATTTTGAACTTTTTAAATGAAAATTATACCTGTCATGGTGATCTGTAATCAGTGATTTTTGATGGTATTACTGTAGTTGTTTTGGAGGATGCCACAAACCTTGTTTTTAGAAGGTGGAAAACAATAAATATTGTGGCAGAAGTTGATTCAAACTCTTTACAATGATACTGAGAAGCTCCAGGCTTCAGTAGAGGCCTGGCATGGTGGCTCACCCCTGTAATCCCAGCACTTTGGGAGGCCGAGGTGGGTTTGAGATCAGCCTGGCCAACATGGTAAAACCCCTTCCCTACTAAAATTTAAAAAATCAGCTGGGTGTGGTGGTAGTCCGAGCTACACAGGAAGCTGAGGCAGGAGAATTCCCTGAACCCGGGAGGTGGGCACTGCAGTGAGCCGAGATTGTGCCACTGCACTCCAGCCTGGGCTACAGAGAGAGACCCCATCTCAAAAAAAAAAAAAAAAAAAGAAAAAAAAGAAAAGAAAAGAAAGAAAATATTTCAGCGGTAAAGTAACTGCAGATGTGGTAGAAACTGCAACAAAACTAGAATTCTAGAATTAGTGGTGGAACCTGAAGATGTGACTGAATTTCTGCAATCCCATAATAAAACTTGAACAGATGAGTTGCATTTTATGGATGAACAAAGAAAGTGGTTTCTTCACCTGGTGAAGACTGTGATCATTGTTGAAGTGACATAAAAGAATTTAGGTATTCCATAAACTTAGTTGATAAACCAGCTACAGGATTTTAAGAGGACTGATCCCAATTTTTAAAGTTCTTTTGTGGGTAAAATCCTATCAAGCAGTGTCACATGCTACAGAGAAATCTGTCATGAAAGGAGGAGTCAGTCAATGCAGCAACCTTCATTGTTGTCCTAAAACTTTTCCACAATTGCCCCAACCTTCATCAACCACCACCCTGATGAATTACTAGCCATCAACGTTGAGGCAAGACCTACAAGCAAAGAAATCAGGACTCCCTGAAAGCTCAGATGATTGTTCGTTAGTATTTGTAGTATATAAAGTGTTTTTAATTAGGCATTTTTTAGACACAATGTTATTGTATATTTAATAGATGACAGTATAGTATAAAATAACTTTTATATGTGCTGATAAATCAAAAAAGTGTAACTTTCTTTAATTGCAGTATTTGATTTATTACGGTAGTCTGGAACTGAACTTGCAATATTTTAGAAGTGTACCTGCATTTAGTACATCCCATGCAGCAGTCTTATACTTAAAAGTTATTTGTTTTTATCTGAAATGACATTTTAACAGGGAATCTTGTATTTTAACTGGCATTCCTGTAGAAAATAGATAAGAGAGGTTTAGACAGAAAATTAGAATGCTCTCATAAGCAAGACAAACAATTGCAGAGTTTATACCTGAGCACCAGTGGATTTTCAGAATTTGGAAATGACAAGCAAATAATTAATTAAAGAAAAAAGAGGCTACTGATATTTCATTGTAATCCAAAGTACTTTAAGTTCTCCTCCAGACTGGGAATGGCCAATATATTTTGAGAATAATAATGTCTGACATTCAGTTGGTCTCTTCCTATGTTGTACTCATTTTCCTTTACCCAGTAAAACTACGTGATGGGTTACAGAATTTGATTTTGGAGTTTGGCCAATCCAATAGGCCTGAGGCTGAGCTCAGAACCACAGTCCAGAAGCAAGTTATGCAGAGAGACAAGCTGAGATGAGAGAAGCTGGCTGAGATGAGAGAAAAGAGCTTTAAAAATGTCATCTTTTCACCTTCCCAGGAAAACACCAGGTAAAAATAATTCCTGAGAGTTTTTTTTTTTTTTTTTTTTTTTTTTTTTTTGGTGAGCGAGAAGTAGAGCAACTAGAACCATCTATTTCCAGGAATAGTGACTCCTATCATCTTACTAGGTAAAATAATGAAGCCCAGGAGACTAGAAGAGCTGGATCCATTTAAATTGCAATGTGGGAAAAGGCTTTTTAACAACTGTTTCCATGTATTAATTTTGACTAAAGCTGCCCCTGATGGATGTGGACAGAAAATCATTTTATTCCGTACACTGAAATAACATTTACAGGGCTCATACCAGATGGAAGTACTAGGACAGGTCCTCAGAAATTTATAAGTGAATTAGGCAATCCATCTTCTTAAGAATCTAACAGACTAGTTCAGGAGAAAGAAGCTAACACATACTTCCATAGCACAGGAAAAATAATTTACCATAGCACACATACTATCATATTCATTTAAACTGCTAGTGTTTTGATTTAGGCAAAACCCTAAACATGTTTCTTCCAAAATCTCTACGGCTTCCCTATAAGTCTCACTAATAGTCACGTTTCAAAACAAAGCTTTAATCATGGTTTCGCTGCCCTTACAATTCTTCCTCGACTATATGTTTTCAACTGAATAAAGCTCAAAGATTTCACCATAGCCACTCATTCTTCCCCAGTTTGGTGGCATCCTACCTTTCCAGCTTCAACTCAGCCTTCTCTCCCATGGACCTTAGGCTCCAGCATCCCAAGAACTTTTGCCATGTGAAAATAGCAACATTATTTAAAACCATATATTTCTTGTGAGCAGGAGGATTGTGTTAAGCGAGGTCCTTTTGTTCTTCAAAGCATAGTGATATGTTTGAATACACAAAACAGAGCCCAGAAGAGAGATGGGACCAGCTGGGTCCTGAGGACATAAACTGAGGAAGCTGCTTATGGAGTTCCTATGAAGGAAAGGGAAAGAGAATTTTAAAAAGTCATGATTTAAATAAAGGTGATGGTGTTTGTGTTGTCATCACGTAAGCCTCTGCCCTTACCTCCACCATAACCCCGATATTGCTAAATTTTCAGAACAATCTATTACATTCAAATGACTTTTAAGGTCAGATGGGAGGTGTGGAAATTGAGCAGGTAATAAAGTTTCACATCTGGGTCAAGGCAATGAAGAACAAAGAAAGCTTTCGTAGAATGGCAAGGTAACTCAAATTTAGAGGATGAAAAAGTTTGGAACCAGAAGTGACCATGAAACTATAAGTTCTCCTAAGAACTCTCAGAACACTTGGAGTACTCTGGACAATCAAGGAGCATGAGATGAGGATATATTTTATCAGATCTGCCATGTAAACTCTGCCTGTTACACCACATACAGTTTTTCCTTGCCTCAAGTTAGTACAAAATTGTTGAGTAGGATTCCTATGAAAGTCTTTGAGATCACATTGTTGCTGCACAGATCAGGAGTCAACATCTGGGGAAATGCAATAGGATTACACTGAGTCATAGGGGAACACACATAATATCATTTCCCCTTGACCTCTACTGAGCTGGCTTCATTATTGAATCTCTTGGTGTTATGAGAGGCATTAATTTCTGAACTGTTCAGGCTGGTATGTGGATTTTTAGTATCAGGTGTCATCTATTATACCTCACAATGGGATTTTTTTTTTTTAATGTGAGGATGCTGATAAAATCAAAGATCAATCCAACAAATGAGAAATTGCCCATTCAGACCACCCTCCCTTCCACCTTTCTCTGTGGACCTTAATGGCCCTGTCACAAGCTGCCCTTGAAGATAAAACCGCTATCCAGTGTTAACATGAGTTATATTAACTTCTTCATATATCATAATTAAAATACAAGCCTATCCAGAGAAAATTCCTTCCATGTGTAAGTCCAAACAAAATATTTTAAAGAAAATGTAACTTTTAATGTTTATCATTCTAAACATTTACAAATGACTAATATGTGTGTCGTGGGGAGCAGACACGTTTTCCTAATGTATATACTATTCTGCCAGGTTGTGATCTGCTTATTATTAATCGCTAGGTTGATAGCTCCACGGTAGCATGGATTTCGCTTCCTTTGGCCACTGACATAGCCTCCGCACCAGCCTCTGACACATGGTAGATGAATGTATTTTAACAAACGATTGATTAGGCAAAGGATGTTGCCATCTATAATTATTCTGTTGGTCCATTTCCTTTCTCACTTCAAAGAACGTAGCCATATGTTAAAAACAACCAGCTAATTTTTATTGTTTTCTATGTGCTAGGTACATTTTTAGGTACTTTATCTCCTTTTGTCTACTCCACTCATTTTACAGGCTGGTGAAATTTGAGAAATGTGTCCTGTGTCACCAGTAAACCTAAGAGTTAAAACATGAATCTAAAGTCTTTCGTATCCGAGAGCTACCCTCCACTTTGGACACTGGTCAGTGTGTTTCCCCAAATACACACAGTTCTATCCCATAGGACAGAGTCCCTATACATGAGACAGAAGCTGTCAGGATGTAAGTCTCTGCTTAATGTTATTTTCTTTTTTCCTTGCCCACTATAGACCTTATATAAAGTTTTGCATTAAAAATGTTGATTATGAGCTAACTTTGTACATTTGGTGAACAAGAAAGCTAACAACGTGAGTCCTAGCATAATTGTCTGAAATTTGGCTTGCTAGCTCTACATCTCAGTGTAGAAGTTTATTTATTCCTACCAAGCCTCCACCTACTTCTACAGACAGAAACACACCACACACACACACACACACACACACACACACACACACACACACACAGTGGGGTGAGAGAGACAGTGATAAGGAGTAAAGATTAGTTATTGAGAACATATAAGAAATCCTGCTTAAGAAGATTTATTCCTAACATTTTGAAGACACACTTGTGCTAACACAAGATTATACATTCCTGGAGTAAATCCGTCAGTGACTACAGCAGCAATTTTCGTTTAGGATCACTGGATAACAACATCCTTTGGACAGTGTTCAAACTGAACACTTACATTCAGTAAATCAAATGAATAACTGTAATTACTTTCCTTAAATGACAGAGAGAACTGCCATGCTCATTTAACATACATATTTTTTCCCCTTATTTTTACATTTCCTTCCCAACAATGACTCCAGTGAAAAAATTCAAATACAAAGAAAGACAGAGTACATGTAGAGCTGTTAGAATCTTATTAGGCCAGATGGTATTTATAAAACAAAGAAATTTCCACGGAGACCTAAGAAGAATAACTGGACGAAATCACTCCCATATTCTGTTGAAAGAATTTGTCAGATAGAAAGGGTGTCATGAAACTGGGGTGAAACCAAAGTATTTTCACTCAAATTCAGGAAATTTATTTGCATAGGAAGCATTTTATACATTACAAGATTTTTTTTAAAAAATTAAAACTTCGTTAATTGCAAAATGACTAAGAAAGAACATTGCTTTATATGGGCTTTATTGGTGATTTGTATTCTCAATTGCATTTTTCCCTGCCAATAAAACCAGGTTTCAGTAATAAATATCTTCTTATTTTTGGCATTCAGTGGGCTGAGTCTGACACACATACCTTTCCTTTGAGGTAACATTGGCCTTTTGGTTACCCTTGTAAAAGCATTTGAAAGTAACTGTTGCTTCCTGATTTCTTGAAAAATCCTAAAAATACAAAATGAATCTAGAAAGAAGTTTTGTCATTTTTGAGCCAAAAAAGTAAAGAATTATCTTGGTGGAAATATAATTAAATTTGGCTGATAAAGAAAAGGTGAGACTGTTGATTTAAAAATCTTTCATCAAAGGCCATGAATAATACAAGAGGTGTTATTATGGGTTACTTTGCCATCCTTATTTTTTGTAACCTGCATTGAAGATTTACATTTTCCTTCACTAAAATCTACCCAAAAGGTCATTATGCATCATTTGTATGTGTGGATGATAGATGTATTTTTGAAATGTCTCCCAGTTCAGTTCCTTATACGTAGTATATTGGTTGACTGGGCTCCCCCTATTTCTCCACCAACCGTCAAAGTCTGGTCAAGAGGCTGCCCTTGGGAAAAAGTTAATTTGCAAAACCCAGAGGTCTGCAGTGGTAAGTCCTAGATAGATGGAAAGGAAAGGAAAGGAAAATTGAGAGTGATCTGCTCTGGATTTTGTAAAGAAAAGAAGCAACTAGGGAGAGTGAGAATGTCATAGACAAACCTCACTGCCTCCTATCTTCCCCTTGCTCTGCTTCCACTAACACACACACACACACACACACACACACACACACACACACACACGATGTTTCAACCATTCAAAATAGCACCAATCTATGCTGCTATAAAAGAGTCCTGGAGGGCCTCCTGTTGTGATTGGCCACACAAATTCTGAGACAACTGCTTACTGCTTATTAACCAACCTGCAGGGGAATACTTCAATATTTTAAGAACTATTGGGGTCATCTTGGTGCAGACTGTCTTGAATGTTTGGGCCCTGAAAACACACATGATCAGCTCTGATACTGTGTACTTTCAGGGCCTAAACATCCAAAAGTAAGAGAGGATTAAAAAAAAATGCACATAAAAGTTGGGGAACTCCATCTCATTCTGCAGAAGGGTCACAGTTGGCCCTGAATAAAGATACTGTAAAATTCTAGAAGAAGCCCTGCATGGGGCCACTTTTAAAGTGGGATGGTGGTAGTGACATGGAAGTGGTGGCTAATAGATTGGCTTAAGAATTGTTTCATGTTTTTGTTATTGATGTTGTATGCAGGTTAACAATTTGGAAGGAGGAGAATCAAGAGAAAGAACAGATAACTTTAACACAAAATAAAGACCTAACATGGCACTGCATATCCAATAAGTGATGTGAGCAGATCTGAAACCTTCTTACACTTGAAAAATTTCTCTAATTCCCATCCTTGTTCTCATGTGTTTTGTAACTAAAGGAAAACTGGTGAAACAATAGAGTCAGCAACGACACATAGCAGCTCTGCTTCTCAAAACATACATATTTCTTACTGTCAGGTTGATCCATATGGAGAATCTGCCTGTATAATGAAGTAATCTAACAGATGAATATAGAGCATGCATTAAAATAAAAACAGCATAAATTACTCACTGGCTCAAGAATGATAATTTAAATAAGGTTCCTTGGGTGTTTATTTTGTGTGTGTTGTTTCCATTTGGTTGCTATATTGTTTGCTTTTGTTTTGTTCTGCTACAGTGTTTGTTTTTTCTTTCGAAATTAGACACAACTGGAAACTTACATCATATAGTTTTCAAGTAAATATAAATAAAATCACACTGAGATACCACTAAATCTCCAACAGACTGGCAAAAATCAGGAAGTCTGACAATCCCCTGTGCTGCCTCATATTAGCGTATGTGGAGCAGTAGAGGCCCTCACGCCCTGGCAGCTAGAGTGGAAACTAGTATTATTATCTTTGGAAAACAACTTGGCACTATCTTAGAAAGAGGTAGATTAACAATCTGTGATCCAGTGTTATATTCTAGTGGTCTCATTTAACACGGCAAAAACAAAAGCAAAAACAGCAAAACTGGAAACAACATAAATATCCACTAGAATGTATCAACAATTAGTGCCATATCCTCTTGAAAATGGCCATACTGTCCAAAGTAATTTAGCGATTCAATGCTATTCCCATTAAACTACCATTGACACCCTTCACATAATTAGAAAACAACTACTTTAAAATTCATATGGCAATGAAAAAGTCCTTATAGCCAAGGCAAACTTAAGCAAAAATAACAAAACTGGAGGTATCACACTACCCGACTGCAAACTATACTATAAGGCTACAGTAATAAAAACCAGCATGGTACTGGAACAGAAACAGACACATAGACTAATGAAACAGAATAGAAATGTCAGACATAAGACAGTACATCTATAGCCATTTGATCTTCAACAAACCTGAAAAAAACAAGCAATAGGGAAATAATTTCCTATTTATAATTGGTGCTAGGAGAACTAGCTGGCCATATGAAGAAAATTAAAACTGGATACCTTCTTCATACCTTATACAAAAATTAACTCAAGATGGATTAAAGAGTTTCGTTTAAAACCCAAAACTATAGAAACCCTAGAAGAAAATCTAGGCAATACCATTCAAAGACGGGCAAAGTCTTCATGATAAAAATGTCAAAAGCAATTGCAACAAAAGCAAAAATTTACAAATGGGACCTAATTAAACTAAAGAGCTTCTGCACAGCAAAAGAAATTATCAGACTGAACAGACAATGTACAAAGTGCGAAAAATAATTTTGCAATCTATCCATCTGACCAAGGTCTAGTATCCAGAGTCTACAAGGAACTTCAGAAATTAACAAGAAAAAACAAACACTTCACAAAAGAAGACAGCTATGCAGCCAACAAACATATGAAAAAAAGGTCAACATTATTGATCATTAGAGAAATGCAAATCAAAGCCACAATAAGATACCATCTCATGCCAGTCAGAATCAGAATGATGATTATTAAAAAGTCAGGAAACAACAGATGCTGGCAAGGCTGTGGAGAAATAGGAACACTTTTTTCTTTTTTTTTTTTTTTTTGAGAGGAAGTCTCATTCTGTTGCCCAGGCTGGAGCGCAGTGGCGCAGTTCAGTTCGGGGCAACCTTCATCCGCCTTCTGAGTTCAAGCGATTCTCCTACTTCAGCCTCCCAATTAGCTGGGACTACAGGTGTGTACCACCACACCAAGAGAATTTTTGTGTTTTTGTAGGAAGAGAGATTCACCATGTTGGCCAAGAAAGTAGAAACACTTTTATACTCTTGATGGGAACGCAAATTATTTCAACCATTGTGGACGAGAGTGTGGAGATTCCTTAAAGGCCAGAAATACCATTTGACACAGGAATCCTATTAATGTATACCACAGAAATATAAATTATTCTATTATAAAGATACATGCATATATAGATTCAGCGCAGCATTATTCACAATAGCAAAGACATGGAGTCAACCAACCCAAATGCCTATCAATGATAAACTGGATAAAGAGAATGTAGTACATATACACTGTGGAATACTAAGCAGCCATAAAAAGGAATGAAGTCATGTCCTTAACAGGGACATGGATGCAGCTCGAAGCCATTATCCTCAGCAAAGTAAAACAGAAAAAGTACTGAAATACCACATGGTCTCACTTATAAGTGAGAGCTGAACAATGAGAAAATACGGACACAGGGAGGGGAACAACACACACTGGGGCCTGTCAAGGGTGGTGGGAGGAGGGAGAGCATGAGGTTATAAATAGCTAATGCATGCTAGGCTTAATACCTAGGTGATGGGTTGATAGGTGCAGCAAACCACCATGGCACATGTTTACCTGTATAACAAACCTGCACGTTCTGCACATGTATCCCGGAAATTAAAAGAAAAAGAAAAAAAAAAAAAAACGTGGCATATCCATGCAATGGAACATTATAAAATAGTGATAATAAAGAAATACAACTTTTGGTATTTATGTGAATGAATTTAAAAATAAGCGATATTGAACTAAAATGACAAGTTTACAAAGGAATATACTATAGTTTCATGTATATAAGAATAAAAAAAAGGCAAAACTATATAACTAAATGTTTCTTATACTTACATATATGATAATGCTAAAGAGAGAAGAAAGAAAAAAAAAAACCTACCAAAAATTCACCTGGGGGGGAGGTGATCAGAATTGCATGCAATGAGGGAGCAACATAAAAGAGCTGAAACTTACTGAGAGTGTCCTTTGAAAGTAGACCTTGGACAGGCTGGGGTTTTATTATTATCCTATAAAATATACAGGTATGCAGGGCAAGGTGGCCCATTCCTGTAATCCCAGCACTTAGGGAAGTCGAGGCCGGTGGATCATTTGAGGTCAGGAGTTCAAGACCAGCTTGGCCAACATGGTGAGACCCCCATCTCTACTAAAAATACAAAAATTAGCCAGACGTGGTGGCATATGCCTATAATCCCAGCTATTAGGGAGGCGGAGATAAGAGAATCACTTGAACCTGGGAGGCAGAGGTTGCAGTGAGCCAAGATCACGCCACTACACTCCAGCCTGAACTACAGAGTGAAATTCTATCTCAATTAAATAAATAAATATTATACATATATGGAATATGTATATGTGTATTCATTATATACATAGTATATACATGTATATTTTATGTATTTATACATAATATTTGAATGTTTCACAGATTTTACAATAAGCCCAACATATATAAAAATTAAGAACAATAAACTTCAGCTTTGTACGCACATATCGGCAACAACCTGTTTATATTGTTTTATTTATCAGAAAAGATACCAGAAAATCCTATTTGATATTTATTGGAGAATATAGAGTCACTCTCTAAGAGATGTCCCTTTTCAGATCTTAATAATGAAACAATAAATAACAAGAACAATACAGTTTCTGAAGAAATTTCCATCTGCAATTTGAATATGGCTGTTAAAAGCCCACAATAGCTTATGATGAAAGTTGAAGGAAATCTTTTTTTTTTTTCCTCTAAACTGGGAGATAAAGTAGACACGAGAAAACTTGAGGTGCCTGATAGAGTCCTGATAGGATCTATTCATCACACTCCTCCCCTTTCCCTTGTTCATTACAGGGCAGAACAAGGACATCCAAGGCTGCAGGAAGGACTTGTTCTGTCTTTTCTTCCTGTGTCTCTGGTATTTATTCACAAAATCCCCTGGCTCCTTCCTGCTTCTTATTGACTGTAATATTTCCTGATCTTTTGAGCAGAAATAAAATGGCCAGCTTTTGTCCTATCTGGCGCCACTCTTCTCCACCACATCTCTGCTGGGCTCATTCACCAGCTCTGAGTCCTCAAATTCACCCTCATTTCCCAAAGATGCCCAGCGGGGATGAGTAACAGGGAGTGACAACTCACCCAGGTGGCTTTTGATATTGTTTGTGTGAGGAGTAACACTTTTCACAGTGCATCATATGGAGAATATGTAGGCAAGAGTAAGAAAATAGGTCATTGATTTTAAGTGATAAGCTGGAATCAACTCGAACCACTGCAGAGAATCGTGCACAAGTTGGAGACACAGCACATTAGTTTGTTTTCTTTTTTTTCTCTATGATTTGTTGTTGTTGTGCTCGTTTGTTTATTTTATTTCTTTCCAACACAATGTAGAACAGGTTTGACTTTTACATGCTTCCAAATGACCTGAATATCAGAAAATGTTCTCCCCCATGTCTAGAGTTGTAGGCCAGTCTTATCCAGGCCATAAGACAACCAAATATCCAGCCTTACCTTTTGGCAGCAGATTTGTAGTTTTGCAACAGGCTAACATGCAGAAATGTTGAAATGGAAAAGTCTTTGGAATAAGTGAGGGTCAGGGGACTTGCTCCTACTCAATATTTCTTTTCTATGCGTCCTGGGTCTCTTCTAAGTGTTGGCACTCAAGATTGAACAAGCCAGTCTAAGTCCTTGCCCTGTCTTTACCCTCTATTTATTCTCTGTTCTTCTCCACCCAGTTCTATGCCCAAGGAGCTTACCTCAATGGGATGCCTTGCCTGGATTTCCTTGCTCTCTGGAAGCTTCTGGTGGCAAATGGTAAATAGGAGGTACCAGAAAGAGTAAAAAAAAAAAAAAAGATTAAGGATAGGGAGATAAAAGGGAGGAGAAGACAATATCCTTAGCCTGATCATCCTATATCTCTCTGCCATGACTCCCATTCTCAACTGGACCCTGGGTATAACCTTTCTGTCCTTTGCTCCTTCTGTTCTCATGGAGTAGCATTTCTTGATGTTTCTTTTTAACTAAATCCATACTTCTGTAAATAATCTCTGTGGGAAAGTCTCTCCAAAAGTTCCATCTGGGAATATCATCTGTTGCCTGGCAAGACCTGGACTGAAACCACCAAAGTAAGAAACAGCAGGCACAGTCTTTCTGCTGAATGTCTGTGCAGAGATGGTTCATGTTTCACCAGCAGAGCCCTGCCTTCATGGAAGGGGCCTGAGCCTATGGGCTGTCAGCATCACACTTGTGGGAATTTGAAATTTATGTAACAAATACCCATTATGACCTAACTAGATGCATGATGGAAACAATGATAAGATTAGTCTTCTGCCTCTGGAAGTTCATTCTCTGGGGATGGAGTATGAAATAGATATCATTGAAATGTGGTAGGTTGAGGGCTAGCAGATAGGGATGTACAGAAATTTGGATGTAAGAGAACCAAATGATTAATCTTCTAGACATAGGGAGGAGTTTGGTATAAATAAAGATTTCACTGAAAATGGCATATATGAGCATATATGAGCTGACACTTGAAGGATGAGTTAGAATCCACTAAACCACAAAGGGGATACTGGGTCCGGGGGGTTGGTAAGCAGCACAGGTGGGGAAGTGCAGGGAGAAGTAGCCTTGTCTGTGAGGAAACAGGAGCAGGAAGGCCTGGAAAAATGGAGCCCATTTTCTTCTGTTGGAGAAAAGGCAAATGCACAGTAGACAATGGTAGGGAAGAAGTTGTGGAGTGTATCAGCATTTGAACTAAGAAAGGTGACATGGGCTTGACCATGATGGGTCCTATAGGTCAGGCTGGATACTTTTATTCCTTTGGCCTTATTATACAGTCAGGAACTCAATAATCCAATGTGTATTTTAGACATGCAAATCAGTGACAGAGATGGAAGAGGCAGTTAGTGGGGTAACAGAGTGGTGTCTTGGAGTCTTGCCTCTCCCCTAGTTCCCCTTCCGAGCCATGCGTTTTACTTAATTTCAAAAATGATATTTAGCTCTTATACATCATAAGTGCTTACTGATTGTTTATGGCCAGGTTTTATTGTGATTTGTTGAGGCATCCATTCTGACTGGCTTGTGTCCATGCCTTATTCTTGTAAAATATACAGTGCTTTTCCTAATATGGAATTATAGGAACCTCTGGTTACTGAAGAGTTTCTCTTGTAATGTACCTCACATCATAAAATATAGACCTAGATACTTTTTGCAGGATACTTTTCTCAAAATATGCTCTAAGTAACCACTTTTTACAACACTGGTGACAAAATAATCTGTATAACAAACCCCCAAAACGTGAGTTTACCT